CATGTATGCAATTAGCATTTTATTATTCTATTATTCTTAACCCCCAAGTTATTTTAGCATTTATTAATAAAATTAGAAAGATTGCCCTAATTTTTAATTCATTGATAAATGATTTCTTACTTGGTTGTAGAAAGTTTGAATTTGCTAACTTAAACCTGATATTATTTCAGGCTATTGTAGTGGCCAGATCTAGTTTTACTGGAAAAAAAAATTGAGATGATGCGTACATTGCTAGAAACTGCTAACTTCTCAGATTCTTTATTTAACCTGAATAATTCAAAATATCAATTGGTACAAGGACAGTTGGGGGGCAAGGGCCTGGGGTGGGGTAGGAACCAGGTGGAGGGGAGCTATGAGGGCGGGAAGAGGAAAATCTGTAATAATCTGAACAATAAAGGATAATATATATATATCAATTGGTCATGAAGAGTTATGCAATTGTGCCGAAGGCAGGAAAAGATTATGGTAATGCCACAGTCTTAGTGTGTCTGTGTGTGTGTGGCGTGTACACTCAGGCATAAATTTATATGTGTGTTTTAACTTTTATTCCTCCAAAATGCCTCCTATCTTCTGAAAGGAAGATATCTACTTTTGTCAAAATTTAGTAAAATTACCTCAAGGGAATAAGTAATGATATGATCACTAAAAGAGAGATTATGTAATAACAATCTCAAGAAATTATCTGAAAGTTAATGGAAATTTTCTGTGGGAATTATTCTCTTTACACAATAGAGCACAGTACAGATTAAAGACCTAATTATATGTATTTTCTAATGTTAAGGGAGAAAACTGGATGTGGCAACTCTATCTTTCTAAAATAGTTCTCTTTCAGAAATCAATATTTTCTTTTGGGTTGGTTAGCTAAATAATATTGCTTTTAAAATACAAGAAGACATTTAAAAACTCTGATTTCAAAAACATTCATGAAACGTGGGCGTGACTATCCTATATAATAAAAGGCTAATATGCAAATAGACCAAACAGCAGAACTGAACAACCAAACAACCAGTCACTATGACATATGCTGACCACCAGGGGGCATGCATGGAACATGGCGGGCATCAGCCGCAGTGGGATGGTGGAGCAGGTGAGCGGGAGTGCCAGACCAAGGCAGGACACCAATCGCTTTCACTCAGGCGAGCCTCTGGTAGTTACTAAAAATTCTTTGATCCCATACACCACAGTCCCACTCAGTGATCACATCTGTATCATCCCTAAGGGCTTCTCCACCTCCCCCTGCTCCTGAGGGGCAACTGGGGAAGCAGCTGCCACTTGCACCCACTGTTGGCGCAGCCCCAATTGTTACGTGCCGTCAGCAGGTACAAGTGGAACCAGCACTGTCAGTGCAGGGAGTGGTGGGAGTGGGGCTGCCAGCAGACAGGAGACTGGGGGCCGCAGTGGGAGGGTTCGGGTGGGGGCACAGAGGATGGGCTGAGACCTGCCCCTGTGCCCAGTGCAGCCTTGCAGCCCACAGTTCCTTTCAAGGTGCACAAATTCGTGCATTGGGCCCCTAGTGAAAAATAAAAGGGAATGAGAAGTAGGAGATACTCGACTCATGTTTAAAGGGTAGGCTTGAGGGGTGGAGGGACATCTCACTAGCTGCCATGGTTTTTAGTCTAGACTTCAGGTAAATTCTCAAGTACTCATTTAACAACTCATTTCAATTGTGTGATATTGAAAATGTCATTCAAGAGAACCAAATGCAATTTCCTAAAACACAAAGTGAATATGTGTGTGTGTGTGTGTGTGTGTGTGTGTGTGTGTGTATGTGTGTGTGTTTTGATCAGTTCAACACTAGATGGCTCTAGTTACAAAACTTTTTAAAAGTCTAAAATCCTAGGCTGTGACATTATGAGAACAGAGGGATTCTAACTCACAGACTCAAATTCTGCTATCTTTCAGAGTCTTGTAGGCATTAAGAATAGCATCCAGCTTTTAGGTTTGAAATGCTATGAATCTCTAAAGAGCAGGCATAAATCCTAGAAGTCCTCATTCACAGAGTAAAGCAAGAAGTATCACAGACATAGACTGAAGCATGTAGATGTAATTTGCTCTGTAATGAATGATTCCACTCTGTGCTCTTATGGAACTATTATTTATTTTTCAAATTATTTTCATATACATTCATTGGGCCCTCTCAATAGTCGATGAGGTAGATGAGGGAGGGAGATGTTTTCCTCATTAAAGGCAACAATACTGAGACTCAGAGAAGAGGCAGAAGCGCACTCAAGGTTACATAGCTCATGAGTGAGGCCATTAAGACTAGGTCCCTCAGGTGCCAGATTCAGGATTAAAGCTCTTTCTACACAATAGACAAGGAAAGAGAATTGGGCTTTTAAAGAGATTTGGCCCTTTCATTCTTTAGAATGTTTCCCTGGAGTTAATTAAATACCCAAATCCAACCACCTAACATCAAAAATGAATTTTGAATTCCTAGGACCGTGGTCAGCAAACTACAGCTCACGAGCCACATGCGGCTCTTTGGCCCCTTGAGTGTGGCTCTTCCTAAGCCTTAGGAGTACCCTAATTACGTTAATAACAATGTACCTACCTATGTAGTTTAAGTTTAAAAAATTTGGCTCTCAAAAGAAATTTCAATCGTTGTGCTGTTGATATTTGGCTCTGTTGGCTAACGAGTTTGCCAACCACTGGCTAGGAAATTGAAAATAGTAAATAGTAAATAAATCTTTTATTGAGTTAGGTAAGGAGGAGGATGGCTGGGAGGGACATTTCTTACACTTGCTCATCTCTGCCTTTGACTTATATTCTAGTTTATTTTAAGCTTTGTGTTTTACCTAGGCCAGCAATAATCAATGATTTTTTAAATATTTTATATTTTATATATTTTTATTGATTTCAGAGAGGAAGGAAGATAGATAGAAACATCAATGATGAGGGAGAATCATTGATTGGCTGCCTCCTGCACGCCCCCTACTAGAGACTGAGCCTGCAACCAGAACATTTGCCTTGACCAGGAATCAAACCCTGACCTCCTGGTTCATGGGTTGATGTTCAATCACTGAGCCACACTGGCTGGGTTAAATATGACAGTTCTGCTGGGTGGAAAAGTCAGTCTGCTATTAAAGCCAAATTTATTAAAATCCACAAGCCAAATAAAGTACATGCAAATGATTGATAACAACTACCATTTAATGAGCACCTACTATTGACGTGATTACAGTCCACTTTGCAAACCTCTTCTTTTGTCCATTTTTTCTTGCTCTAATGCTACCACCCTAAACTTAACCACTAACACCTTCTCTCTAACTAGTCTATTATCTGCTTTGCCTCCCTCAAATACAAATCACTAACTCATTTAAATGCATAAAAATAATTCTAACTTAAGCGTATTTTGATTTTATAAAAAGGAGTAAATAATATAATGTTGTATGTCAATTATAACTCAATAAAAAAAGGAGGACAGGCATTGTCAACTTATGACAAGTTATTCTCAACTCTACACCCAGAATACACACAAGCAGATCATGTGACTCACCCTCTTAAAACAGTGACTTCCTATTGCCCCAGGATAACACTGAAAACTATGAATGGGCCTCCTCCACTTTGCCCTCTTTCCTTCTGCCCCTCACAACTCAACTCCTCTACCAGTTAATTAAATGTGTCAAACTCACTCAAACTCAGGGCATCCACATGTGCTACTTCCATCTGCCAGAATGCCCACCATCCCGTCCCTGACATCCCTGTCCTCAGTTGAAATATCTGGCTTTCTAGAAGACTTTTGTCAACACCCCTCCCTCCCCCTCACCCCAATTTCATGCTAGATTAGGTCCATGTGTCTTATGTTGTTTAGCTTCCTGTACTTCTTTGTAATACTTGTTACAACTAAGTTAATAATTGGGGGAAGTATCTGCTTAATGCATATACCCTCTATCTGGCTTGTCAACCACTAATCCCTAAAGATTAACACAGTATTTTGCAAGCTTTTCAAATTGTGTTCCCTGCCTGGCCGGTGTTGCTCACTGATTGAGCATCGACCTATGAAACAAGTAACGGTACTATTCCAGGTCAGGGCACATGCCCGGATTGCAGGCTCAACCCCTAGTGGAGGGCATGTAGGAGACAGAGGATCAATGATTCTTTGTTGTCACTGATGTTTCTATCTCTTCTTCTCTTATATATTTTAAAGAATAAGTAAGTAAATAAATAAAAGTATGCTCTCCAATCAATAAAATGAAATTTACAACCAGTACACATATACAGGTAACTAAAATAGAGGTTTCATGAACACTTCATACACTTTCTAGATGCCGTTCACTTGACATGTTCTATTTTGTTCTGGTTTTAATATGTTGTACACCAGAACTCTTCCCAGCGAATTTAGAATGTAGACTTTATATCTTTAAAAGTAACATATCTCTGTTCTTTAGGAAACAGTTACTACTTGGATTCAAGCTATCAACATTGGCCTTGGCTCTTGTATAATCCAGTACATAACTGATTATTATGCTTTCACAGTTGCTCATTCTCTTAAAATCTGAATGAGCAATTTGTATAAAAAGCAGGCTTGTCCAACCTGATCTTGACCCTATTTGCTTGGTTATGTAAATGCTTTGTGTATTTTAGTTTTGTACGCTACCATCTAGCTACATACTTGACCTAAAAATCCACACTTTACTCCATGTAATCCAGTGATATGAAAAGTGTGAAAAATAACATTCTCCTAAATTCCCTTAACCTTAATATCATTTTGGCATAAGCAGAAAACTGGGAACTAACGTAAGAAAAAAAGCTTAGGTAGCCAAATTGCCATGAGTTCTACTTTGTAAATATGTCACTGTGACAGCTTCAAAATATTATTCATATCAATGTGTTTAATGCAAAATTCATTTTCATTTTGTACACGACAGCAGTAGTTTTGTAGATTCTGTTTGAGCTGTAGTGACCCAGTTATCTGGTCAAAGGGCTGCATGGATGCAAGAGACAGGGTGAGTTAAAGTTTAACTCCCAAGAATTGTAAACCAAACCCAAAGCCACTGAACCTTTGGAGTTTGATATGATGATTAGAGCATAACAGAGTGACACGTTGAATTCGCCATAATCAAGGAAACCTTTCCCGGGCGGGGATCTCTGAAATCACTCAGGTATGGTCCATGTGTTTCGCTTTTTCTATTTCAAGTCTGTCAAACTGTACAGTGTGGATCAGTGGCAATGCAGTGAAAACAGCTTTCACCCTCTTCTACTGTAGAGCCTAATTCAGGGATTTCTCTAGTTCGTTTTTATGCTATGAAGCAACCTGAAAACAAAAGAAAACATTGGGATGATCATCTCATCTCAAAATGAGATGGCGGCCATCTTTTGCGCCTTAATTTAATCTTTGTCTAAGGCTAAAAAATGTAAATTTACCACTCCGGGTTCAAGAGTGGGGCTAATGCTTCCGAAATGTTTATTTAGCAATAGCCAGACAGCAGAGAGTTGTGGCTGACTATCTCTCCTGGTCCCAGGATCCTGGAAACAAAAATGTACTAAAGAGAAATAGTATTAATGTCACTGGCCGCTTCTGAGCTCTCTGTATGGGTCATAATTCCTATTATACTTAAAGTCCACATATTCAGTTATCTCTTTTTTTTTTCTCCTTTTTCTTATACCACCACACACACAAAAACAAACAAACACCTTGATGAATTCTTGCTGTTTCCTCTGTCATTATTGGTTACAAAGGAATGCCTTAAGCTTTCACTTTTCATTTTAGCAAAAAAAAAACAACAACACAAAAAAAACAGTCACAGAAAATGGGTGGGATTTTTTTTATGTGTGTGTGTTTTAAGTATATTTTTATTGATTATAGAGAGGAAGGAAGAGAGAGAGAGAGAAACATCAATGATGAGAGAGAATCATTGAACGGCTGCCTCTTGCACACCCCCTACTGGGGATCAAGCCCACAACCCAGGCATGTGCCCTTGACTGGATTGGAACCCGGACCCTTCAGTCCACAGGCCAAAGCTCTATCCATTGAGCCAAACTGGCCAGGGCAAAAATGTTCGGCTTTCAGATTGTTAAATCTCAATCCTGTGATAGCTGGTTATTAGATCCTTTCCTCTCAGGGTGGTTGGGGTATTGTGCTGCAGTGGATATATTTTCCCATGATTTTTTGGTTCACTCCAAAGAAAAGATGATTCATAACCAGAATAAGCTGGTATTTTATCTAAAAAATAAATCTATCAGGGCCCTTATCAGTATTATCCCATTCCTACCAGAAATCTCTAAAAAAAAAAACTCTGATTGAAATACTTTTGTTCCATGATTACCAAAGGAAGTTCCAAGGAGAATGGGTTTCAAGTTAAACAAGTTTATCTACTACAGAGCTTTTCTGTTGTGTGCTGTGTATCTCCCAGAAGATGAAGAGTATGTTATCTGTGCAGGATTAGTGTTTTGCAAAATATACATTGGCAAATTCAACTCTAGTTATAATTTAGGGGCAATGCTGTATTGGTCTGGTCTGAAACATGCTTTATCGTATGTACTGAGATGCATACCATAGGCCTGAAAATGAAAGTGATCTCACCTATTTGTCAAACCACGGAGGTGCGCCCTGCCAAATGCAGAATAAGAGATAAATAACTTACAGGTTCATTGGAAAGAGCCATGTTTTCTGGGATCATGTTGACACTGCCCATCTGAGACAACTCTCACATTTTGCTGTTCCAATTTGTTCTTCATCAAGTGTAAGGGCAGGGGAAATAGTCGGCAAGAAAAAAAAAAAGTAGTTGTTAAAGGCAAATATAAAATGACATGATGGATAGAAAACCACTGAATATTCTGTTACTATTTCCAACCAATACCACATTGGTTTGATGTCATTTCAAATACATTTCTTATACTATATTCAGTGGACCCTAATAAATGTGGCTCAAAAAAAGTGACTCTATTGTCAACTAAGTTGAGGAAACGGTGGCTACACAGGTCTTGTTCCTACATGAGAGTTTTGAGTAGGAATAATAATGACAGGTATGTATTAAGCACTATATTGCCAAGTGCACTTCTTAGCACTTTCTATGCATGTCTTTCGTGTTTTCTTAGAAAAGCTATGTAAAATGGATACTATTATAACATTTTACAAGTGAGAACATTGAGGCTGTAACAGGTTTGGGAATGGCAGAGCCAGGCTCCCCCGCCAGGTGCCTGACTCCAGAGCCCTAAGCAAGTAACCACTGTACTGTATTCATAATGACTGGACATTTACACTTGTGTAAATATGTTCATTCATTGTAAATATCTAGGAGAGTAGGCAATGTTTGGTTTCCCAAGCTTAATTTGCAACAGAACATCTTCCAGGAACACCTATAAATGTCTCTCAGAAATGATATTCCTCAGAACACAGATTAAGAAAGAACAAATCATTTTTATAGCCCATATCCAACATTCACAACAATTGATTAAATCATCATTGTTGAAATCACCACAATTAAAAAGGGACCTGACAGTCTAGCCATCTCCCATCACACGGGACCAAACCTATCTTCAAGACGTTCAAAATTAATTATGGCAGAAACGCTGGCCTGTTTTCCTGGCAGAGCTGAGTTGGGATGCCTGTACCCAAATTCCCCAGTTTTACAGCCTTGGCCATAACATTAAACTTCTCTGGATCTCAGATTCCTTACCTATAAAACAGAGGTAAAATCCACCCCAGGGGATTTAGTGAAGATTAAATGAGATAATATAGCAAAGCAGATGGCACAGCTCCTAGCACACAAGGACTTCAGCAAACTCTCTTCCCTTTCCATCCATCAATTTGTAACAACCTCCAGAAAAAATGTCCTAAAATTTTCTGAACCTTCCCATTAGTTCCGCTTTGTCAAAACATTGCTAATAAAAATTTAAAAGTTGATCTTTATGATACATAAGTAATGAAGCTTTGATTAGCCACAAGTAGTAACTCTATTCCATTTATTAGGAGAAAGAGACAACCTATACTTTTTTTATTCTAAACAAAACAAGAGAACAATATGCTTTACAGAATGTTGCTCAAGAAAAGTCTTAGTTAAATTCCCAAATCCCTATACACTGAAGCCCACGAGTCACCCTGTCACAGTGTGTGTTCATTTCATCACATAGTCAGTTGGTGTTAAAAATTTGTTTCAATAACTCATTTAAAATATTGCCATCTCTCAAAAAGCTGGGTAGTGCACTGGGTACTATTGCACAATGGTTTTCATTACCTTATGCGCCTCTAAATGACTCAATAAGTTCAAACAAGACGATATTGATTGACAGAGGATAAACACCATTTTATCTCACTCATGGAAACAGTAACCAGGCTCCTCTGGAGTGCAGTTCTATCCGTTGGAACTGCCCCCCTGCCCCTCG